GTACAATTATACAATACCTATAATTAATAATAATATTGTATAATTATAATAAATAATTTTACAATAAGATAATGTATAATTGTATAATTATACAATAATTTTTTTCTGTGTTATTATTTTTAATAATATAATTTATTAATAATTATTAACTATTAATTTTTAACAAGAAATGTACATACATAAGCAAGCGTGCTTTGCTTCTCGGTATTTCGCGCGCGTAGTATGTATAATATACTTGTAAATATAGACAAGTACAATAATTGCCAAAATAACTCGAATCTCGAGATCGAGTCTTTTTGATCTTTATCTTTCTCGAGCGGCGCCGATACTGACTCAATCGGCGGCAAATAATTCGTGATGCTTTCTCATTCATCTGATTTTCGTCTAAACTCGAAATCATGTCCGTTACAAACAAATTTTCGTTACGTTTAATCCGAATGATTAGGGCGATCAGCGATTAAATAAGATATTTCGTACCGCGAATTATTTGTCGACCACTCGCCGTTAATTATATAACGTAAAATCACGACGATATGCGAAAATTGAAAGACTGTCTCGAAACCGAAAACTGCCGACCTTATCGAAGGATATCATTTTTGTTCTCGAAAATGTATCCTGGAACTGCCTACTGACACTGTCCGATGAAACTTGCTGTTTTTCACTGCCACATACACTCGACTTTTTATACAATTGTGCATTCTACTCTATATTTATCAGTTATAACAATTTATTATCTGCCATTTATGAGGGGAGGAAGAGAAACGATGATAATTATATTTTTATTATCATCGGGAAAAAACAATACAATAGAGATTATTATCTTTTCTTACAATATTTTATATCTCGCATATATTAATTTTCAATTCTATCATAATGATCGAGGATTAATATAAGTGTAAGAAATTTTATCTCTATCGACTGTTTCGAGTGATATTTAAATTATTGCTTCAGTATTGACGAAAGACATAATTCTATTATTATATCCTGTACACTTTTTCCATAGAATGCATTTATACCGCATTTAAAATTTTCTTACACATGCATCCATATGTTATATAATTTCGCATTCGTCGCGGTTCTACGGGCTTATTTCGACGGTGATTTTATAATATTTCTCTTTTTGTTGGGGCGCTCTAATCTAAAAAGAAAAGATCATTGGCGAATACACAATACCATAATACTATATTTTAGTAAAAAAATTTATCGATATAATGTATATGTATAGGTGCGTAAACCGCTGGCCACGTAGCGTCGGCGATCTCTATCGCGATTTTACCTAATTAATCGATGTAGAACTCTTTGTGGAAACTATAATTACTAGTCTTTAATTCCGTGACGTGCGCGCATATATTCTCGTCTGCCGTCAACGCGAATGTATACGTGCATATCGGATACAGAAAGCGAATTAATAGAGTTACTCGGAAGACGGAGTAGTGTACAATAATAATACGAAATATAAATTGCCATTTTTTTTATGTATACAAAATATTGTAATTACAATTATACTAATGATTGCTTTATTATTTTATTATGTTGATATCGTTATTGCTATTGTAAATTAATAATTATTAAATTTTTGAAGTTATATAATAATAATGATTATTAATTATTAATTTTATATTGCTAACGTTTATTATTATTATTATGTAATAGCAAATTACAATTGTAATAATTGCGGCTTTGATTTTTATACATAATATTTTATACATACATGTATTGTAAGAAAACAAAGAGGAAAACACGATCGATTATTCTTCAGGAGGCGTAAGTGTATTTTGATATAGAACATATATATATATATATATATATATATATATATATATATGCTATATTGTGTGTATGAATAAATGTGGCATGAATAATTCTATATGTCCGGTTTGCGCGAGACCGGAAGATCGCAAAACGAATTTTACCTTTATGCGAAGTCTCGTTGAGTCATTCGTTTCTTCTCCTATTTATTTTTCGGCTAACGAACATTGTACAAAAAGATATTAGAATGTGAACTGTATTTTTTTATGGGAATTACTTTCGACGGAGCAAATATTAATTGTATACCAGAAATCGATGAATTTCGAGAAACTTGATCTGTAGCTCTGCTCGAAATAGTTTACGAAATAATGTATGAAATTTTGGCGAACCAACAATATACTACTCCTTAAGCTGATGAATATTTTCAACAGGCCAGTAGTGAGAGTTTTCGAATTGTAATAGTACTCTCATGGCAATCGTTTTCTTTGACGAAAAATTTCGCAGTTTACCTGATGCTCGAACTGACGTACGAATATAATTGTTCGGATACCATTCAATACACAACCCGATCCTTCTTCGAGACATTATGTCCCCGATTAAGGCTGTAAATAGGAATCGGGCGATCAATGAGCCACGTTCTTGAGGTTCCCAGTAACTTCCGACATTTAAGTGCCTAAAGACCCAGAGACACATCTATTCCCTTCGTTGTCTAGTTTTTACGGTTGGATAAGACATTGCTTGTTGAGATAACAACGATAAAAACTAGCGCTTATCTGCTGTGTAATAAATTTCCTTTATATGTAATTTGATTTACCGTCGCAATGCGATAGGACAACTTATAAAAATAGGATAAATTGACATTTTTTGATTTTCCAATAGAATAGAATATATAAACAAGAGTAATTGTCTATATTGCAGCCTTTTGCAATATCTACAACCGTACCTGTGTGTATAAAAATATCGCAATAGTGTTATAAAATTTTAAAAGGAAGACTGTACAATTTTATCAGCTTTTTAAGTATATCGAACGAATCTTCTATATTTCTTTCTTATATTTGTTATTTTTTTAAATCACATACATTATAACATTAAACTTTAATAAGTTATTAAATGGAAATATATACAATGCATAGAACAATATACATAGATTTATTAACCCTTTGATACGCATTTTTTAATAATTTGATACGATGCATATAATTTTTTCATTAGTCTCATTTAAAGATATCAATTTATTATGACAACTTTTTCATTCTGTATTTGCTATATTGTGCGCCACAATTAATCAAAATCCCTATACGAATTCGATGGTTTATCAGAGGGTTGAATAAACAATATGATGCGTCGAATGTTGCAAGACAAAGAAAGAAAAGATGCAATAAATAATGACGAACAGAATGAAGAAAAGCTTATTCTACGCAACACATTTTTGTAAGTACGTTTCTCTGTAGAAATGGAGCTTAGAGTACACACTAAGAATTGTGACAGCGCTTTATTCAACTTCACTAGTTTTATGTCGCAAAAATGAGAGATTAGAGGTCGTTAGACCTTAGCAGATCTCAGCACTCCGACGAAACGAACGAAGGATCATTTATTTTTTATTCAAACTCGCAGAAGGGCCAGCTCGTTTCTGTGGAGTGCGCCTAATACAAATAAAAAATGATAATTATACATTATAAAATAAATAAATGTGAATGAATATAAACGAACGGATAAATATATAAATAGATATCTATATCTACAGCGCGTGCGTGTACATACACATATATATATATTATATATATATATATATATATATATATATATATATATAATAAATCTAAATGTGGGGAACCTTGAGAGATGCGTGGTGCAGTGAAAACGAGAAGTTCTCGAAAATAGAAACGCTTGAACGTCGTCAGTCGATGCTTTTGTTTCTGTGAGGGGATGTGTCAATTTTTCGATTATGTGAACGAAACCCCTGCATCACACTATAACATACCTCCATAGCACATCTCATAGTTTAATTAGCCCTCGGATTATCGATCCGTTTAAATTTTCTCAGACGCGAAAGGAAAAATTGTACCTTCAAATATATTTATTTTTCTGATCAGAAAATTGAGAGATTGAAAAGAAGATAAAAAAAGAGAGAGAAGAGAAAAGGGAGATGATGAAAAAATATACACATTCTGAGTGATGTTTGGTAATCCGAGGGTTAAGACTGATTCTACAAGCGCGTTATAAAAATACTAGAGCGACCATATTTTATAATTATATCATCATTATTATTGTTTGTAGTTATACAATTATTATCGAATTTGTTTTTAATAAACGGCAAGTGCCATGATTACATTAGCTAAAGCACGATTATTTTTAGATCTATATTTAATCCATTCTAAAAAAAATTACAATTTGTTACTAGACAAGACATATATTTTTATTATGGAAAGTATTCTCTCTCTCTTTCCAAAAATAACATAGTTTTATAGTTACAATACCTTTTCTTGAAAATGTCATTAAAAACTAATATTTATTATTATATAATTATATGATTAAATAATTATTAATAATTAATATAATTATATAATTGTATATATATATATATATATATATATATATGTATATATATATATATATATATATATATGTATGTATATTCATTACATTTTTAATGAATAAAGAAAAAAGAGAAGATTGCACTAAGAGAAGATGTAACTATAAAATTGTGTCAGTTTTAAACAGAATTATTTGTAGTTATTTTTTGTTTTTAAAATTCTCTATTTATTATAATGGAAATAAAATATTTAAAAAGATATAAGAAATATAAAATTATAATTACAATCTGAAATGCGTTTATAGTGATTTCCATGTTAATGAATTATGTAATTCATATTAATAACTGAAGTAAAATACATCTTCAAAATTCGAAAAATTAATTATGACGACACAAAATAGTATGAAGAATAGTAGAAGAATATGACTTAAAAATGTTAGATAATAATTGTCATGCCAATAAATTAGTAGATATTTTAAGTAAAGTGTAAAGTAAAATTGTATTGAAGAGAAATTAAATGGATCAATCTACTTTTTCAGAATAAAACACAAAATTATATCAACGTAAATTAATTAATTTTATTAATACTTATGATAATTTTAATTTACATTTTTAATTTATATTTAATTAATTATTTACTTATTTAATTATTTAATTAATTAACATGAAGATTGGTTGAACATTTTGATTATATTATATCATTATAATTGATAATTTTACAGAAATTACAGGTTACAGCTAATATTCGGATATATATTTTATGATTTTCTTGAATCTCTTTTCTATATTTAAGCTTCATTTTCGTCGATGAAATCGGTGAAATCTGTTGCTTTTCTATTTATATTCTTGTTTGCATTCATATTTACATTATAATTTCGATTGTGTAATTTATTAAAATTATGAAATATGCTGTCGTCCAAAGTACGTCTGGCACGATCGATGTTTTTGTTTATATTAGTATTTATATTCTCATTGTAATTTTTGTTGTCAATGTAATTTCTATTTTTTTCCGTCGATTTTTTCAAAAATGGTACAACATTTTTTTGGTTATCGAGACCTAAGTCCTTTTGAAGAAAGAAAACATTGGAGTCAGGCAAGTTTTTCGGTATCTATAATACAATCAAGTTCTTAAAATTATCTAAGTATTGAATAATTAGATTAATATAAATTTATAGAAACTAATAAAATTTAAATTTTATGCTTTATTTATTAAAATGTTTGTGAAAAGAGAAAAAGAGTAAGAAAAAAAGAAAAATAAAATAATTTGTTTATGTACACATAACAAATAAAAATTAGACTTTAAAAATTACATATGTATAAATGCAAGATATATCCAAAATATATCTCATTGAATAAAAATATGAGATTTATATTGTTTGACTGATATACCTCATTGCTGTCATCATTAGAAGCTTCCGATATTAGAGCAAATAACTTCTCAACTGGAACAAGGCAATTCAATGTCTGTTGTGTGCTTTGTTTGAAAAGTAGATTTTCGATGCGTTGTAACGAATTCAAAATAGTTTCCACATAATTAGATTTCCTTGCGTTACTATATTGCGATAATAAAATCAGGAACTCATGAAAGAAGAAAAAGATTAAAATTAAATTATATATATATATTCTACTTTTTTATAAGCAATTCCAGAACAAGTCCAAAAAAACGGAGAATAAATAAAATGTATAAAAAAAGAATAAAGATAGCATTATTATGCAATATTAAATACTAGCAATAATATTTAATATATAAATTGAATTTGACAATTTTATTCGATAAATATTTTAACAAAGAATAATTCACTTACTAAGCAGCCAAGTATTCGATGTGAAATCATTGTGAGAGATGATCGGTCGAGGTTTGTTTCAATTTCTGAATTGATCGTACCAACACATATTATATAGAGATGATTGTTGTATAAAATTATCTATGACCTTTCACGGTTATAGATTTAAAAGTCACTTATGAATTAGTATTGGATAAAGAAAATTGCCCATTTTATCAAATCTAAACGATCAGTCAAATTATTATTGTGCGCTTGAGTGAACATATAAAATCCAATTTAACTTTTGCGATATTGTTAATTGCGTTGTATTGTTAATTGTAAAGTTATAAATTCATAATTCTTTGATCTTTCATCAAACTAAATATATTATCTGTATATAATAAAAAATATACATGAGTTTTTAATTGTAAATTATAGAATTAAAAACAGGATTAAAAATTTTCTCTTTCAATATCATTTAATTCATTGAATTTTCCTATTTTAAACTAAAGTAAAATAAATTAAATAAATTAAAAATAAGAGGTTGTAAAAAGGATTATTTAAATGCATTTATGTTTATATACTTTTTCTTATTTAAACTTAACTTAATTCTTAAATTTTACATTACTCAAACATTTCAAATATCAAATATTTTGTAGATTGTGTGCATTTAATTACTTTTAATTATAACTTTAATCCAATGCTTAATGTTTAATATTTTATTAAAATACAATGGAACTATTTAATTAAAATTAAGTTTTTTAAATTATCTAAAATCTAGTTGATATTGAAACTGAGGTGTTTTGTTCGAATAATAATAATAATATTAATTTGAGTGATTAAAAAAAGATACTGAATAAAAAGATCCTTTTTTAAAGAATTATTTACATTTCACCATTTGTATTTGCCTCTATAATATAAAAAAATACATAAATATCTACGTAATCTAAATATACAAATATATACATATATAATCTAAATATACTAAATATTATATATACATAATCTAAATATACAAAGTATATTTAGATAAACACAAAAAATCGTTACAATGAATTATCTTATAAATATTTAAAAATATTGATTGTTTTTATTCAGTTAGTATTAGTATTTAAACTAGTAGTTAATATTTTAATATTTTAGTTAATTTTAATTCATAATATAGCATACTTTATTATCTACAAAAAAATTATATTTAAAAGTTATTTTTATTAATATACGTTAAAAATATAAAAACGATTAAATATCCTCGTAAGATTATAAAAATGAAATGTTATTTAATTTTAATTTAATTTAATTGTAAAATTATCTCTAAATTTATCTAGCGACTATATCTCACTTGATCTGAAAAATCTTTAGAAATAGTAAAAACAATAAACAAACTGAGATTTGATTGTAATAATATATAATTTAAAACACTGTGTGTGTGTTAAATGCATAAAATTTATATAATGATATTATGGAGAACGCCTTCAGGTAATTTAAAGACAGGTAATGTTTTTGTTAAATTATTTATTTAGAAGAGAAAAAGGACCAAAGATTAAATATCTTTCTTTTGAAATTTGACATTAAATATAATTGGATTAATTCGATAATTAATTCCACAAATATTTTCCGGAAGTCAAATACGCTTTTCTTTTTGATAGAAATATAATGATGCCAAATTAATGAATTGCATCTAAAATATCCTTTCGGCGTATTTTGATTCTGACATTCACATAATCGTCCTTCTCGTCACTAAGTATCTTTATAGGACTGTGAATTGCCCTTCTGCTAGATACGTCCGTCTCATCGATTTTCGACTGGATTGTTTTCATCTTTAAGGAACTCATCATGTCCGCCACGATGTCCCTCGTCATTATTTCTTCGTCCAGTAGATCTATGTTCGGCGTATCTCTGGTAAGCACTCTTCGGGTGATCTTATCGAGTTGACTCGCCACTTGAAAAGCGCTCTGTGATGTTCCCCTCCTAGTAGGCGATACAAGGGGTGTCACAGCCTTTTCGAGTTCTTTGATAGTACTCTCCGAACTAATGAGATGATTGGTACGATTGCTCAGACGGGCTTCTATCATCTTCCATAATTCCATAGCTATTTCCTGCGTATCCATGATATTCATGATGACATTTATATTCTTGTTTTCAATCAACGAAACCTATGAATTATTAATTACAAATTATTTTAGAATATTTTTAAGATACTTTTAAGTTTGTAGAAATATATTGACGATTAATATTAGATGACAATAAGCAATAGGCAATATGACGATCTTCACTGAAATAAATCTTTATTTTTTGAATAGCTTTTATTACATTATTATATTTTTAAATATGTAAGTGAAGAAAGGAGTCTTATGTATATCTTATATATATATATATATATATATATATATATATATACATATGGGGTTTGACGTTACTGTGAAATAAATCGTGCTTAGAACAACAACAATATTGCACATAATATGATTCTTTAAAAATTAATTTTCGTAAAAAATAATATATATACTATATTCTTAAATGATTGCGAAAAAATTAATTCCACTTTTATTATTTTAAATTTCTTACCTCTTCTTTTAAAGCTTGCACCTGCATATACATCTAGAAAAATGTATGTACAATGTATTATAATTAAATTATTAGGTAAATTATATAACATAAATTGTAAAACTTGCATACAAAATTATTCTCAAAATAATTCAATAATTTTATCCATACTTTAAAATTTTTAAAAATGCACATGGTAGATTGTTAATTAATATTGACGATAATTAGAAGAATTGAAATTAATATAATTTTTAATATCAATATCAATTATCAATTGTACTTATAAAATATTCTTACACTTAATTCTTAACAATTAATATTCTTACACTTAATTTTTAACAATTAATATTCTTACATTAATATTCTTCTTTTATTTTGAATATACAATGGTTTTAAATTAATATAATAATTTATGTAAAAATATATAATAAAATATATATAATTTATAAGTAAAAATTTCTTTTCATAACGGAGACGCGAAAAAATTTTTAATGTGCTCTGGCAATGTTATCGTCTACTCTAATTGCTTCCCTACTTGCTTTGCTATTCTTACTTGGACACTGGTCAGCGCTAGGGCGCACAATATCGGCAAGTACGTCATAATTAAACGTAATTATCTCCGGTATAATTGTTCGTTCAGTACTAGAACGGCGAAGGTATACACCGATACACATATTGCATATATATTAAACCGACTTTTTTATATGCAATAACCCACCGCCGAGGAGCTCGCACGATATCGAGTCGGAAATTAAAAAAACTGCGCTCTCGTCAATCGCTCTCGTGCAACCTCTAGCGATAGTTTAATTCGCGTAATTGCTTCGTGATAAGTTTGGACTGTCCGCATATAGGCAATCAGTTAGCTGTCGCACGCGTTCGATATAACGCATTGGAGTGGATTGTGAATCAATTCCGTATACAAGCATGATTATTATTTTCTGCGTCTTTTCACACTGTTACGGTTATTTATTTGTGACGAAGACCGAATTAACACCTGCATCATTTAATTTAATTTGCTTCGATCACTTGTTATCTTTATATTTTACTTGAGACAACTTCATTATTATTGTCATAAATTAATACACGAACAATTGCAATCAGTTGTACAAACAATTTATTGATGATCTTTACTTTTCACCGTTTCATTTTGCATATTACTATTTTATAGCTATCACTTCAACATAATGTTACAATAGTGTAATAAATTTATTTCCCGTCTTTTATTATTTTCATGTTCATATTTGTAAATTTTTGATAAATATTTATAAGAAAGCAAATAATTTTTAATAATTATCTTTTCATTATAATATCACATCAATTATTGCTAGTTTTCCTCAAATAAAATATACATGAAATCTTAATAGTGATTCATTTTTAATAACAATTCATGATCAATCAATAAATATACTACTTTATAATATTTTCATTTATTTTTATTTTAGTTAATTTTATGTTATTACCTCTCTCTCTCTCTTTCTCTTATTTTATATTACATTAAAAAATAACAATGCATTTTTATCAAATTCCCAATATTATATTTTTTACTAAGATTATAATTTTATTGATTACATTAAAGAATTTGTTTTATAAAAGCATGTTATATATCTATAGAATTTTAGACTGAATTTTGTAGTGACAGACACAATGTTTATATTTTCCTTAAGTGATACAACACAATTCTGTAATTATATTATATTACTATATTATTAAGTTAATTTTATGTAAAGCTTCTTATGGCTGTGTAAATCTGTAAAATAAATGTACATTAATTGTGTGGAATTTTTTAAATATTTTATATACATTTTATCTCTACATATTCTTTATATATCCTGTCATAAATTTTTCAATTATTTTTTGATTTTTGGAAATATAAAATATTATTCTCAAACTAAGCGTTTTACTATAAAAATATTTTTACTATAAATAGATATAACTATTAATAATATAATGAGTATTAAATATTAAATGAATATATTAATATAATTAGTATTAAATATTAAATAAATATATTAATTATTAACATATGGAATAGAATTTTAGATTTTTAAACCATCATATATTTTATGAATATGTGTGCGGAAAAAGTTTCTTTAGAGCAAACTTTTATTTGAGAAAATATGGTCAAAAGTTGATAAATGTTTTGTATATCATTTATAGTTGCACGTGTATAAAACTGATCAAAGTGTAAAGGCATAAAATATGTTCCAGTTGTCATCCACGGTTAATTGATTTTCATGCATAAAAGTTATCAAGATAATAAAATTAATTTTACGAAAAATGCTCCCTAGATACATACAACATTTATTGAAACTAAAAGCATTGTATATAACTTTTTTATAATTACTGTTACACGTATTATATAATTGTATATTTATTCTAATCTTTAATACAATTTGTTTATATATATTTCTTAAATATCTAAATACTTACTCCGTGATTAGAACTAGATACAACGTTTGACAATGGCAAACTTTTGTTAGGCTATCCTAATTATAATCATCAATCGTGTGACTTTTACTATTAGGAATTTTTTCGATTAATCGGTCGCTGACCTCTAATTTCGTTTTAGATAACCGCCTATGCAAGTTCGCATCTTTCACATTATCAACAAAACGAAAATAATTATTAGACTTTAACAGATTATTATTAATGCGAGTATTTTGATTTCCAATTGATCGACGTATCCTGATATTAATGAATGAGTTATCTTGAAGTTCCTTTGATTTTTTCACATTAAATTTGTTTATATTTTTAGAATCTTGTAAATCCTGCGTACTACTTGAATTTGTGCTTTGATATTCAGTAGCTGATAATATTTGCGATACATCAGATTCCAAATGATTGAGTGGCCTCTCAATTGCAAAATCTTTCAAAAATTCATTTGTTTCGTTTCTTTGAGATAAATTCCTCGAAATCGAATTTAATGGCTCATTTGTATAATTCGTTCTTATCTTATCCTTTTCAAATATTTCTGGCTTTATTACTTCAACATTAATAGGAGCAGATTGGCTATCGCTGTTCTCTGTTTTTGAATTATCCGTGTTTATTGATAAATTATTTTCCGTTGTTTGATTATTTCTTTGAGATGCATCAGTTGACTCATTTCTCGAATTGTCATTTAAATTTTGATTATTATGCATTAGATTATCATCAAATTTACTTCTTACTTGTTTAACATTCCTAATTTTTTGATCAAAATTTGCAGGATTTTTCTCGATAACTTTCAAAAGTTCATTTGTAACATTTTCAGATTGTGAAATAATATGATTTAGTAAATTATTATCGGTCTTTGCATTTTCCATTTCTGGTAAAATCTTAATCATAAATTCTACGAAATGTTTCGCATTTGACAAAATCTGATTCACTATAGGTAAATTATTTATTTGTGGATTTAAATTATTTTCATAATTTGTAATTGTAATTGAATCAAGAAACCTCGGACTTACACTATTGTTTTTATCTAACTGTTTTTGTGTATTCTGTGACCATTGGTTAGGTTGATTCACATTTTTATGTAAATCATTCATAATTTTTGTACTCTCAACATTTTTTGATAGATCTACACCAAACAATCGTTGACTCACTTCAGACTTCGATTCTTGTATATTTTCTGATTCTGGAAGCAACTTATTCACAGTAAAGTTATTTTCAGTTAAATCATTCATAATCGTTGCACTTGAAATGTTTGTTATTAAATTGATTGGATTAAATAATCTTTCACTAATACCATCTATTATTACATTTTGAGAATTTTGCTCAAAGCTAAATTCATCTGCACTTGACGAATTGCTTGTTGTATATAAATTAATTGATTTTTGCGAAGTATCAGGATTATAGACATCGTAATTAGGTCTGACAATCTCAGACTCATTATGAATATTTACAAGCATTGGAATTAAATTGCTTGCCTTTGAATTACGTGCAACAACATTAGTGTCTTCTTGGAAATTATTTGGATTATACAGTCCCTGTGATTGCGTAGAATTGAAAAGAATGGTTTGATTTTGATCCAAATTTTCTAGTAAAACTCGGTCATTATTTTTTATTTCAGAATCAATGGTGAACGAATGATTCTGGATTTCGTCTTGACTCTTATCAGGTCGTTCTAGATTTGGATGTAATGGTTGAGTTATGGAAATTTCAGTTATCGGAGATGATAAATTATCATTGAGCCCATTACAATCATGATCTTTATCAGTTTCGTTTCTCAAATGCATTAAACGATTTGCAGTATGCACCGCCAATTGTAGAAAAAGCTTCAGAATATTTTCATTTTGTGCAACCGAATCTGGATCATACTGCAAATTACTCCAATCAATATTCGACGGCAAAGAATAAACCTAACAAAAAGAAGTAACCTATTGTAAAAATTTATGTAAGAATGTGCGTCTATAAAAATTATTATATATTATAAAAAAATTATTGCCATAATATTGTATCTTAAAAATATTTGTTTATGATTAAATTGAACCAATGAGCAAGAAAAGTACATGATCAAAAACAGCAACAATAAGGGAAGACATGTTGTACTTGCAAATTTCAAAAAACCTGGATTATCATTTGTTACTTATTTCTATCATAATTATCGCGAAAAACTATTTTTTGTCAGTATCATTCTGCACTGAACTGCAAGGACTCAAAGATCCATCATAAAGATACAATTTTTTATGTATTAAAATAAAATATATTTCATTTATGGTAAAATATTAATTTTAATTAAGTTCAAGCTAAAAACCTATTTAAATTTCTTATTTAATTTTATTTACCACAAGGATCAACGCGTTAATAATGATCAAAACAGTGTTGCTTGGCCACATTTTATCATTTACTGCAATGACATAAACGCAACTGCCTTAAATATGATCGCATAATTAATATTGAGCATTCCTGATTGTTATCCGATTTTAACGACTGTCATATCGCATTTGTATGCGTCTTCATGCATATCGGGTTTCGTTGTTACTATTTAAGCTTTTACAGCAGCTCTTTTTTGTCCGCATGTAATTTCTTACAGATCGTTTAGATTGATAATTAAAATAACGTTTATCAAGCAGCACTTTATAACCCAGGAATGATTTCATGACATGATTCCTAAGATAACATTTGAATTTTAAATAATGTAAATAATTTATGATGTAAGATTTTAGGATTAAAATTTTAGCGCATAATTTTCATTAATTTTCTATTCGTTAAATAATAATTTAATGCTAATCATTATTAAAAAAATTATTAATATTTCAATTAATAATAAATTAAACTTTAAAATAATTTTATTAAATAATTAAAATAATTTTATTAATATTTTAATTGAAAAAGAGTTATTATCTCTACATAATTATATATTACTTTTGATAACTTATCACACAAATGGTTAACTATAGTCGTCTATATTCCATTGACCATTAATTACGATAACAAGTTCCCGAGATAAGTGGCAATATAATAAACATTTTAATATCACGTTACGACAATTCCATATCTTCTGCTCAATTACACATATAAGTATTCAATTGGATTGATTTGTTTTTATTATGCTTTTGTATCTTATAATTATTCTTACATTTATAAATATATAATTATTACTTTAAATAATAGTTTAAGGAAAAAAATATATAATATACGTATAATTTACATAGAAAATGACTATTGTCGGGACTATTAAAATTGTCCCATATTATGAATTAAATGTATATATATTAAATGAAACATTTATTATATAAAGAAATTAGAGATGTTGTGCATATCTTCAGGGTTGAAGCGTCGTCAAAAAGCCTGCGCAGTTTTCTTCCGTAGGCAAACATTGTCCGAATGCTTCTAATAATAACGGTTCTTCCTTGATCGCCATTTCATAGTCACGGAATGATATTTTGCCATCGTGATCGACATCGAGCTTCTTTAAGGCTAGTTCCGATAAATCTTTCACTCCTTCGTCTGGGTCCTCTTCACCAGGTTGCTTTATCAGACAATTTCTATAAATATACGAATGAATGTATTAATGTATGAATATATTTATGTTTCTCAAAAAGGAAGCAGAAAATGCTAACAAGGAAGCAATACTGATCTTCCTAACAAATTATTAATGCTTCGAAACTTATCATAAAGAAAATAAGAAATCAGTGACTATTAATAAACACAAGTAAAATAAAGCTTACTAATCAATGACGAATTTAATCTTTAATCAACATTTTAAATAGATCTTATTTTTATTAAAAAATTAGTGACAAACCTAATCGGTATAGATAAAATAAATCTTATTAATCGATAAATGATTTAATGAATCAATGTTTTAATAAAATAGATTTTATTTTTTTACCTTTGTAAGTTTTTCTAATGGAATAATATTACTTTTTGTTAAATTAATAAATATATATATATATATATATATATATATATATATTCTAATGAGATTTTGATTATCTTACTTGAGTAATTGAAATATTTCGTCCTTCGTGATATATCCATCGTTATTCAGATCATATACACGGAAGCAGAAAGTGATTCTGTCACGCAAACTACCTCGCAAAAACACGTCAAGTCCCATAATCCAAGGTTCTAATCGAATAACACCCTCGATTTCTCGATCCCAACAACAAAATAGACGCTCCACTAAAGTGTCTTCTGTGATCACGTGAAATGTATTGTGAAGGAGTTCTCGGAAAATGTTTCTGTCGATTCCCTAAAATAATAATGAAAATTAAATATTTTCTAATATCATTTTATAGTAATTGCAAATAATATGTTTTTATATACTAATAATTAAAACATTTTATTAATTTTTAATTAATAAATTATTATTAATATAATAATGAATCATATTTAGTTTATAATATGTTTATTAAAATATTTAGTTCATATTACATTTATTAAATGATTACTTCATATTTCGTTAATTAAGTCTCGATTATAAATGATATAATTACCTCGACAACTGGCCTTGATTGTGGCTTTCTACCGATGGATATCGATTGTTCAATATGTTGTTGATTGAAATTGGTAGTTAATTTCTTGTAAAGTTTGCAGAGATTATCTAACTCCACTCTAACAAACCAAGCATACATTAAATAACAATTTAATTGTTATAATAGATAATAATGAAATAATGTTTATTTTTATATATTTATTATATTTTTATATTATATATTTTTATATAAAATTGTACTATTCAATTATTATAATGTATGGTAGAGTTTAATTCTCATTTGTAAACCATCTAATTTTACATTAATTTACTTTTTTATAAATTTTTATGTATATTCTTTTATCAATTCTCCATGTTTCTTATAAATTTTCCTTCTTTTCTGTAAATCTTTCATAATTGAATTTTTCAGTTTTTATTACGCAAATAATTACGTTTTTTTTATTTTGATATAACTATGATTATATACTTGTCATGAGTCACGAAAGAAGAATAATAAATAGAAAGATAAATGCAATTGACAATTAAAATGACTCGAAAATGCAACTGATAATCAAAATAAGGTACTTGAAAATTAATCACACGACTGTATGCTAGAATTATTGTGGCAGTGGACGCATTGTTAATCAACTCGCCTGGAGAACCTCGTTTTTTTTTTAAGAGACTCGATCACTTTGACAATGTATGCAGAGTTTCTCGCGCCCCCGCTCTCCGGCATTCTTCTGCGACGTCTCCTCCTCGGCGACTCGCTCTTGCCGGATGCGGCGCAATTCTGTCGTTTTGAGTTGACGGATGCCTTGCGACCGCTCGTCAGGAATAGGGAGACACTCTTCATGAGCGTCGTGCCTGCACGAATGCTTATGCTGGGTGCATGCTCGGCGCCGACGCCGACGCCGACGCCCGACCGGTTTCCCCCTGTCGACGTGGCGCTTCGTCGCTCGGACATGCCGGTTCAATGACTGAAAATTTCAAACTGATTGGTTTTAATTCACATTTTGTAAATACACTGTTAGAGACCTATAATAACAGATTAATTTCTGTCAGAAGAAGTAAAATAATTATGTAATATTTTTTAAAATATATACATCCTTTCACATGTATTTATATATTCAAGAGAAAAATAAATAGTACTGGTTGATTTAAAATATTGAATATTGAATATTAAATATTGAATTATTTAGACAATTGTTTTTTGTTTTTAAATATGTGTAATAGAATTAGGAATAGCGTATAATTTTATAATATCGCTGAAATAGTAATAACAATGTGTATAGTTTGTATATTCATTTAGAAAATAAAATGTTGTACTAAAATAGTAATAAATAATAATCATGCATATATTGATATTTGATATTGAGTATTTGTAGACAAGCGTACATGCCCGAGATTTCTTTCTGCTCGCAAGTTGTACGTATACATTAAATGGAGCAATTACATTGCGATTATAATAAAAATGTAAATCTGTTTAATAGAAATAGAAAAAAAAAGTATGAAAATAGAAACCGTTACCATGAACCGCTATAGCCATTCCAGTTGATTAATCGATAAGCAATAAATCACAGAAATAGCCTTTTTTATTAAATTAATCAATAACCGAAAATTGTGAACTGTCAATCAAAGCTGATTTGATTCATCAAGAGATTGCTTCTCTTTATCTTTTTCTCTCTTTCTCTTTCTCTCTTTTTCATGTCCAACCAAATTATTGTTATTTACGATCACATTTGCGTAATTCTCTTGTTAGTCGATTTTACTGGTGAAGCTTATGTGCATTTTCGTGGCATGAATAATATATTCTAATGAACTTAAATCGCGCATTTATATGCGCGTAACTTGGACTGCGTGCACGAAGAAAGTAAATGCGATTTGCATTTATATAGAAAAAAAAAATTATTAAGATTTATGATATAAAGTGCAATGTATTATAATTTACATATTGTACATATAAAAAGTTAATTCATAATTTTTTAAATGTGTGTTTAAATTATGTCATAAATATATATACTAAAGAGATATTATATTTTATTCTAAAACAACAATAATATATTTAGTGTTTATTTTCCCTGAATATTATAAAATATTATATTTTATTCAGGATAAAATATTATATAATATTATATTGTGTATCTTAAATATCTTAATTTTTTATCCTAAATATTATATATTAAAACCACTATTGTAAAGAGTTCATGTTTTACTGTCATTTTGCGAGATAAAATGTAAAAACTTTTCTCATTAGATAATAAATATAACTCACGCCGCAAGTTGTGTTTAAAACTCGTGCATTATTTTGAATTTGTTTTAGTCGAACACGCAGTGCCAGGTAGAACACGAAAAACCGACAAACTTTGGAGCATACTCCTTTTCACCTTAATTTCTACAATTTATTTATATATTTAAATATATAAATAAATTATATATTTATATATTTCTACAATTTATTTATATATTTATATATTTATATATTTAATTATTTTGACAATTTTATAAAAACATATGTTTTATACATATTGGTATTTAATTTGAAAATAATACAACTTAAAAACTTTAATATCAAGTGTTTATATTCTAATATATTTATTTAATATATTTATATTTCAATAATTACTTACTTTTAAACATAAGATTTATTTATGCGAATAGAGTAATAAAATGCTTGAAACATGAGATACAATTCTTTAAAAGAGCCATTATATGGAGTAATGCATGTCTTATCTTCCAATAATCATTTCTAACAACGTGCATGCATCAAGAATCGTTCCCGCAAACGCAAAGAGACAATTCATAGCACACGGAAGTGCAATTTTGAAAGCATGATTTTAATCTTGCTAAAATCCTATGATTTCCTTGCATTACATATGATTCATCTCTATTTACTATATTATTTTTACATGTATACAATTATACTTAAAAAAAAATGTTTTATCAAAGACAATTATGATATAAAAGTTGTTTAAATTCTTATTTTTTTTCTCACACATTAATTATAAATTATAAATAAATTTTAAAGAAAGTTTAATAGCTTTGTATAATTTTATTTTAGGATTCGGGTTAATACAGCAGGAGAACTGAGAATGATTGCATACGAAATCGTGTGGTGATAATGATCGACACTTCTATTCCTAAAAGCTATGGATTCCCTCAATTTAACTTTTCCAACAACGAGATTGCATGCATGTAAATCTCGATTTAATCTTTAAACGAGTTAAAAATATACCATCATACATATATATGATAATTTCTGATATAACAGTTAATTTGTCAGATTCTAAAGAATTTTTTGTCAGATGAATCATTTTGTTTTATTATTAAAATACTCAGATTTTTAGAAAATTTTTAGAAATTATATAAAAGAAATCGATTATACATATATTTTAATAAATCGAAAGGAATTAGGCTCGTTATATATTAAATAACATGATAAGAAAACTAGCGTCTACGAGCCACAGCGGATGGTAATGCCTAAAAATTCTTTTTAATTGTACACGAAATTTAACGTGTACAATTAAAAAGAATTTTTAGGCATTACCATCCGCTGTGGCTCGTAGACGCTAGTTTTCTTATCATGTTATTCATTTTAATAAACACATATCTACAATACTTTAGGAATATTATGCTACCACTTATTATGCTACCAATTATTACTATCAAGATATATTTTTTTATTATTTTTATTTATAGATATTAACTATAAATGCAAAGTTATATAATTTATAATAAAATTAAACAAAATATTTAATGCTACATTGAAATATAATACAATAACAAATAATCATCAATAGCAATTGTACACTTAATTATTTGGAAGAATATTATTACTAATCATTTATCACTGCAATCAAAGACACAAAAGATTTTCTGTTTTCATTATCTTTTCCGTGTAATTCGAGATGTTGGAATTTGGCTAAAGATTATTAAAATGAATTTATTATCTTTTGTTTGTGTAGTATGTGTTTAATATGGTGGGTACGTTCGATTAAATTGGAAAAACTTACCGATTAATGACAATGGACTCTTTCCGTAGCGATGAGGACTTTGTCGTTAGAGGCGACTACATTTTATCGATCAAACATATCAAATAGCGAGATTGAAAAAACATTTTAACGTAATATCTAGCAACAGATTGGATAAACATATATTGTATATATGACAAATCTTTATTATTTAACGACACACAAACCGCTATAATAAAATTAAACAATTTGGATAACATAAAATCTTTGCTTAAAATTTTATTAAAATTATTGATTTATTTTGTTTACATTATTTGATAGAAATTATATAACATAATGTAATATATCTATAATTAATTAAGATTCAAATGTTTTTAATGGTATACATTATCATTAAATAGATATCGTAATTTCTTTTATTAAGAAAATGCATATTAAAATCTAATTATTTAATTATTTTTATTTTCGTATAATATTATATATTATTGTCAGTCAGTATAGAATTTTAATATGATAATATGCATTTTTTTCTTTAGTGTATTTATTCTATATAATCGATACTTTATTTGGTTGACTCTTGGGGAAAATATTATCGTCAGATATTTCCTCTGAGGTGTCTGTCAAATGATGTTTCCTGAAAAATATATTGAAATTAATTATTAATTAATTAATATATTAATAGCGCAGTCTGCTTTCTTCACAATATTATTTCGGTTACAATCTTACTTGCATAGCTTTTCTAAGCATTTCTGAATTTGCGTCAGTTGATGACGGATATCAATTAACATATTAGTCATTCGTTCCTCTAGCATTTCAAAAGACTCAGTTTCTTTGTATCCTTCAGTAGCACGCTCTATGTTAAAATTTTAAAATATTAACTTATTATTTTACAACAATGTTTACATCGATATAACAGCTTATGTAAATTAGTTATTTAATATTTAGAATTTTATTAGTGATATATTCCGATTGATTAATATTAATAAATTTTTTATATATAAAAACATATTCTATTAAAGTTATTTTCCAATACTTACTAATTCGGATATGTTCATCAGTAATATCTCCATCTTGATAAACGATATCAATCTCCTTCATATAATCGATTAAATCTTTTACATTATTCACACTTGTCATTGTCGATTTGATATTCGGTGTCTGCAAGGTGGAATTTGTACCGTTGTCAAGTTTAATATACATACTTCTCACTTTTGATTGTTCTCGAGTAAGTTGATCGATAAGCAAGCCTAGTTGATTCAAAAATTGTATCTAAAATAACAATGAAACATGCTAATTTAATTTAAATATAATAAATAAATTCCTTGTTTTAATACATAATTAATTATTATCCTTTAATTAATTTATCTAAGCGTGTTTTATAAAATATACATACCTCTTGTTTATTATTATTCTTATTTCTGCTTATTTTTATGGCAAAATTAACGAGCTTCGCAAAATTTTTCTCATATGATATAATTAGCTCTTTCAGTTGCTCTGGCATATTTATAGGAGCTTCTTTGCCTATTAAATTTAAAAAACATTACTACTCTATACAATGATCTTTATCTCTTTAGTTCGAGAATGACGTTGTAGTTTCGGTATAAATTTATGCAGTCAGTTTCATAATTAAATAATTAAGTTCTTTAATTAAATAATTAAAATACACATAAATTGGTTGCGTAATCACTCGTATTATCGAATTCTCGAATACTTAAGTTTCAAAGGAATATGTAATAAAATATATGTAATAAAATATCTCCTTACTTATGTCTCCTGTGTTCGAGAACATGACTGAGCGACATTGCGCCTAAAAATGAGATTATTAAGATAATTGCCTATACTTAGCACTTACTCTTATTTAATATAAAGAGGAAGGAATTCGAATAATGAAAAATAGATGAAGCACAAATGAAAGGATATTAATTTGTAAAACTTACTTCAATCGCGACGCTAATAAATACAATCACAAGAAATTTCATCTCCATTTTTCGATTATTCGTCGAAGTCACTTTTGGTATGTAAGTAAAACTGTAACAGGCCATTCTGATGAACGAAGCCGTTTTATAGGCACCATATGCATCAACAAAGGTACTTGCGTATGCGACGTTTTTCAAAACATTCGATGGAAACATCCGGCGAAGAATAAACGATATCGCTATTGCTCGAAAATAGTGAAATTAATGCGAATGCAATTATTCTAATGCAATTATTCTCTTCACGAAGAGACATGTATAATTGCATTTTATATTATCAAGAATACAATATATTTTTATTATTTTTTAAATGATTAAATTATTAACTTTTTTCTCTGCGAATAGAAAATGAATCGTATTGTAATTAAATTTGCTAATGTAAATGAGCGCTATTTGCTCTTCTCGAATTTGCATGGGATGATAATTTTGTGGCCGTGGCGTTTCAACGTCTAAAATTGCGATCAAGAATACTAGACAGACGAACATAGATGATTGAATAATAAAAAGACTACAATCAATAGTCTGAATTATTCATTAGTATATTAAAGGCTGATAAAATGAATATAGAAAAAATTATCAGCGTTCGATAATGTATCGGATAAAGCTTGCAAGACACAATGAGACACATTAAATTATTAATATCAATTGCAGTTTGTGAAATTGATAAATAATGTATTATAAATAATTATTTTAACATATTAAGAAGATTAAAGGATAAATCAAGAGCTTTATTAGTTTCTTAAATAAATTTATTACATGAAGGAAACATTTCAATTACACGAGTGCAATTTATTATATTTTCATGTTATTGTTACGTGAATCCACTTTCAATGATATTTATAGTGTTTTTAGACCTAGTTTCATCGTCCATATCCATATCCACTGCAATTGAAACATTATGTTAACTAACGGTACTATTATATAACAATATAAATAATAATCGATAAGATTAAAGTGAAAATTAATTAAACTTATCTAAAATATTTATAGCGAGAGATATTTTACGCTTTGTATCTTTAATGACTTCAAAAATTCTCGACTTGTCCTTTGCTTATATTTACCCAGAGTTAGCGTACGAATTTGCGAAGGAACCACCACCGAATGGCGTGTTTATTGAACCGGCGCTGGCTCCGCTATTAGCGAAGGAACCACCACCGTATCCACCACCGTATCCACCACCTCCGCATCTTCCACATCCTCTGTATCCTCCGTATCCTCCTCGTTTGTAGCCACCATATCCACGTCGGAAACCACGTTTAAAACGAACGAGGTCCTCTGGCGTGGCTGCTCTAATTATTCTTTGAAGACCTGAATAAAATGTTTTAAGGACTTCAATCTCAAAATACAAAATACAAAATGAAATTGCTGTATTTTGGAAAGTAAATTCTGAAAATTCTGAAATTAATAATAATTTTTATATCATTTCAATATATTAAAGATTACTAGATGATGTATGTATTTTTAACGAGCATTTAATGTGTTTTACAGAATAAATCATGAAATATCCGAAATCAACAGCGTCCATAAAAAGTAGATAAACTGGTTGACTTCTGCGTTTAACGCCGCATTTAATGCGTGTGACGCACGTTGTTAAAAACAAAAGTCGAAGCCAGGTAACATACAAATTAGTAAATGTATATGTATGAATATATATGTTTTGGAATTAAATCTATATGCGCCTTTCACATCTCTCGATTTTATATTAAATTTTAATTAAAAATATTAAAATATTTTTCATTATCTTAAAATCCAATAGTCGCGATACGTCATACATAATTCGATATTCAGCACGTTTCATCACTTTCACAAATTTACCTTGAGATTGGGAAGCGGAAGATTGCGAAGTCGGCAATGCGACTGCAACTGCGACGAGTAGCGCAACAAGTACAAGGATTGCGATCCTTGACATTCTGCTGATGATGATCGTACTGCAAGCGTGAGTATCCAATGCTAAATGACTACAAGAAAATCGGCTAAGCAGTCTTTATATATGGCAACCCATACGCGCGTTCCGGGATATCCCGACGTGTTTTACGCAGGTATAAAACGCACTTTCGGGCCGCATCGAATCGGTTGTCTATCATTAACGCGAACAAAACAAAACGAGTCTCTTCTTTGTCAGTGTTAGAGATGATGCGCCATCCCCAGGTGTCCCTGAGACGATTCCTGTTTGCATGGAATATTATTTCGTGACAGTCGAGTAAATAATCAAATAATCCTCTTTCATGTATCTTTTGATCGTCTAATCATATCGTCTACAAGATATAATGTGTAAGAATAAGTTTTCTTTCTCCTTGGAAAATTTTACTTTTGTAGAACGATACGTCATTATAATTAAATATTTGATATATAACATTAAAATCAGATGATTCTTTTACAAAGTTTTTGCGAGAAATGTTTGTCATTTATTATGTTATAATAAATGTACAAAAATTCAGAAAAAATTTATTCTAATTTTTAACCTAAACCTTTTACCCATAGGCCATTGCATAACTCAATATTTAAAATATTATTTCTCAAGTTGTCGTCATATGTACGTAATAGCCTTCAGATGATATTTATCGTCCAATATTACCTACACTTGAGAGAACTCCCAGAATAGCCAGCACGCTTTAAGAACCGCGTAATCTTGCTTGCTTGAGAGATATATTAACGGTCAATTCGTAGCCTTGATTTTTCTTGGGACTTCACGGTCTTAGGTCGTTGAACGAATATCCTTCGGGATTCCCACCTAGATATATTAATACTTGTCTTATTACTACTAAAACATAATTTAGTGATTAAGGGCTCATAGAACGAATTACGCAGATTAATCGAGCCTTTTTTAACTTTTAAACTTTTACATTTGTATGCTATAATTGAAGCATATCGATTTTTTGATAGAAACTTGATTATAGAACTTGATTAACGAATAAATTTATATATATTTTATAATTAAAAAGGATGCATATATACATGTACATATTAAATGTATATATATTATTTAATATTTATTTATAATTTATGTAAATTATTATTTAGAATATATAAAACTTTGAAATAATCTCTAAATATTTATAATTTATGTAAATTATTATTTAGAATATGAATACTTTGAAATAATCTCTAAATATTCGATTATTAATTATTACTAAATATTAAATATTATATATAATAGATTAAAAACGATTGGAAAGCTTGTATTTAAAATTATTAATATAATATTTATTAAAAAGGTTGAAAAACTTTCAATAATATTAAATAGAATAAAAAATGAATATCAAAGAATTATACAGATAAAATTATAAAATGACGTACATAGATCGTATGTATATATTTGCTTTGAGCAATTTTTCAATTAGCAGTACTTTAAAAACTCTTTTAATAATGGAAATCCCCATTATTGTTCATAATTAATGTAGAAGAAATTTATTAACATGGCAATATTTATAAGTAATATGAATTTCTCGTTATAGTGTCATGCGTATTTATACATTACGAAATGTATTTATGCATTACTTCAAATTTATCGTCCAATGCTTTGGAGTCTTAATTTATTTAGAGATTAGAATTAAAATGAAATCATATTCGCACATTAAACTTGTAAGTATTTTGCGTCGAATTCAAATAGAATTGTTTTAAAAGTTACGTAAAACTTAAATTTGGAACCAAGGAAGAACTATGATCATACGTTAACATTAGTATATTATTATCTCAATACAAATGAATTATAAACCTAGCATAAGATGTGCAAAGCCGACAATTTGATAGACTCTTCTACCACTTCAATATGTAAATAGCTGTTAACGAAGCATGATATTTTTTTATTCTTATAAAAACAGATTTCTTCATCATCCATATATTGAAGATGTATCTATTGAATCTCGATGATATCAATTCTTTCTTCTCTGCAAGATAAGAAATAGTTTCGTCATCATATTTAAATTGCGTAAATATATTATGCAAAATTACGTCAACCGGACGATCATAATGATTATTTGTCTTAATTAATCAGAATCGAAAGAATGTTTCCATGCATTATATACTACGTATTCATTGTGAGATATATAACTTTATATTATATATTGTTTCGACTCTCTGTTGACTTTTCGTTTAGTTATACACATAAATTTAATCATAAATTCGCAAATAAAACTGAAAATGTCAAAGCATGTAGTTTAATCATTTTCTATCTTTGCGATTGTTCGTTATGATGACACATGCTTTTTTTTAATTTATTACGGATGATCAAAATATATAAATTTCAATGAAATTTAAGATGCAGCGTGGTTAATCGTAGATGACTTTTAAAATGCATATTAGTAACGTGATCAATGCGTCAACTTGGGATTATATAATATTTGTTGTAACTTATTATGTATCTGCGTAGTTTGCATTTTTCTTATTTGGATTCTCTCGGATAAAATATGCGAATAGAAATAAGCAAAATTTTAGAAATTACGAAACTAAAATTTAATATTTTTTATTTTTTTTAAATTAATCCCTAACATATTTAAATTAATCCCTAACATATTTATATAAACTGCTATAGAAAATCAATTTTATTTAGGGAAAATACATCTCAAAACATTGCATATAAGCCAATAAAAATTTTGCTATAAAAGTTTAAATCTAGAATTTTTCGGATTTAAAAAAAATGTATATTTCATCATTGCGCGTAAATATTACTTATTTAATAGATTAGAAATAATTACTATTGTAAACTAATTGTTATTAATATTAATTTCTTATATGCTATTATAAATTATAATAATATTACATCCCACCAAAAGAATACTAAATATATATATATTGAATTTCTTAAAAATAAATTTGTATATTATATAAATTAATACATAAACACGTTGAAACAATAATTGCAAATTATTAAAAAATTATAATCTGTCCAAAAACTTATTATAAACAGTACAATAGATAATAATTTAAAGCAGTGTAGTCTACAAGTATAAAGATATATTGTGAATTTGTTATTTAGTCTACTTATTTTTTATTATTTCAATAAAATATCTTATCTAATAAATTGTATAATCTCTAGCAATTTAAGAATTATTCTTAAATTTTAGTTTTGTTTTTTCATAAAAAATATATTTTTGCGTATTAACTAAATGTTACCTTCTCCTTAAATGTTATCCTCTCCTTAAATATTCTCCTTAAAGATTCTACAAAGAAGATCAAAAGAAAACAGCAGCGTCAAAAACGCAGAAAGAATCATGTATAGATTTTAATTTTATTCTAATAGTTTCCAGAACAAACTCAGCTTTTTAACTTACCAATAAGATCTATCATTTTTTTTATCAGAAGTTAATTATTCTTCGTATGGCTGCGGACGTCGTTTCTTTCTAGTAGAAATAAACACGTACAAAAAATTATATTTATTTTTATAAATTTGATTGTATTTTTTTAAAATTATATATCTTAACATATCTTAAAAATCACATGAACAATGAATGCAAATTAAAATTTAAATAATTTGGAATTTTAATTTCTTTCCAAGACAATTAAAGTAAAAATATGTTTTTTGATATATAAAGAGAAAATAACGTCCTTTTATGAGAAGAAACTATAAAATTAATAAAAAAATATAATTTACCCAACAGGAGATCCGCCGTATGCAGTGGCCACTGAACTAGCGACTCCACCCTTTCCGGTAGAATAACTATTCGCAATAGCCGTAATGGTACCAGGAACGGAACCGGAGGATCCAGCACGAGTGGCCACTCTAGGGAAACTAAAGACCATGGGGAAGAAATTGTTCAGATGAGGAAATCCTTGGCGACGTCGGATACCCTTGACAGGTACAAACGGTATAACTGGCTGCTCATCATCCTCATCTTCCTCATCTTCATCTTTGTCGTCGTCAATGACAGGCGGCTTCTTCGTATGATGTACTTTTGGTCGAGTAATGGATACTTCTGTGTTGGCCGCGATCGGTTCTTCCTCTTCCGATTGCGCAATCTCTGTGGTTAGCGGGATCTGTTCTGGCTCGTGATGCTCCTGTATAAGTGTAACATAATATTTTATATTTGTGTGGTGAGAGAATTTTGATTACTTCATATGTCTAAAGAATTTAAAAATTATTGTAGAATAATTTGCGAGAAGTATTATCTTTTTAACATGAATTTTCACAAATTATGATCTGATCTCTCTCTCTCTCTCTCTCTCTCTCTTTTACAGCTCTTTAAATTATATCTATAAATTTCATCATGAGTTTCATACCTGAGAGGTAGAAGAATCTTGGTGATGATGGTGATGCTTCTCCTCTTCGTGATGGCGATGCTCGTGATATTGATCTTCCTCGTGACGATGCACTTCGTTCTGATGATGATAATGATGATGATCCTCGTCGGATATCGGCGCCGCCTGTGCATGGGCGCTGGATATTTCCGATTCCTCGATCGGTTCCGGACCATCCTTGAGATGCGGCGCGTGCATACCGCCGAAAAAGGCCTGGCCACTTACGGCGTTTCCTTGCGCGAAGAGGCCCGTTGCATGGTCGCCGTTACCTGAACGACGTATCGGTCTGTAATATCCGGTGAACATCATCGCCCTGTGCGGATATGGATGAGCAACTGTTCTCTTTTCTCTCAAGAATAGCACAGGACTGCTAGAATCCATCATGACGGAAGCTGTGAACAAGGTAGATATTTAATTCAGAAATAAAAAATCATTAAAACAATTTTATATATTTATTGTTAATTATTTCTTTATTTTGAAAAAAATTGTATTTATTAATGAATTAATATTGGAATAATTATATTGAAATATTTGTTATTACTTATATATTCGGAGTGCTTAATTATTTTGTTTTTACATACATTATAACAGTTGCTAAATACATTTAAAAAAATATAAAGTAATTTTATATTTTTTATAATGTAAAATAACTGTATAATATAATTTTCTAAATTTTCTAGAAGATAAATTATTTAATAATAAAAATAAAAGTAAATATATTTTTCAAGATAAAAAACGTTAATTTTAATTTATGCTTACCCGGCTTAGTTGGAATCATTTTAGATTCTGCTATTATGATCATCGATGCGGTGGTAATTAAAATAAAACTAATCCAGCCAGTCATCTTCATCAGATTTTTAATTTTTCTTCAAGTTCCACGCAACGATTTTTTTCTGTCCAATCACTTTTGGAAAGTATCTTCACTGATTTGTCTTTTTGCAATTGTATGTGATCTTTGACAGAAAGTTGCGATTCACTTACACCGATTTTGCCGATCTAGTTGACGCACCAACTTTTTGCACGCTGCTGCTAGTTTTGGTTGTCACAATTGCTTTTATACCATGAGATACACAGACAAATACATGGGCAAATACACGGATATGAGACGAACCTATTGGTGGACACAGGGGATGTGGATCTCCCACTCCAGGTTTTGTCAAATGGTCGCTCGTACGGCCAAAGAATTTCCGTAAAGCAAAGCATCAACGCTACGTGATTGTCATGACTGATGTGGTAATGCTTGATCTGATGCATTAATTGTGATCCGAGCTGATCGCAATCTGAATTCGTGGGATCGAATCGAATGGAAGGCAGTCATATCGATCAAATTCTATGCAAATAAATAATGTGAAATTATTAATACACGTTATTGTATGTTTATTTGTCGGAGAAGAAATTATTATGTAATGATGATATGTATTTTTTGCAAACTCTGTGGATATCTTTATAACATAAATATATTAAGGTTCTTCTAAATTAAAAAGAAATGAGAAAAAAGATTAATTTTAAACTAAGCTTTAAAATATAAATTATTTGTACATTAATATTTTTATAAAAATTCTATATTATTCTTCTAATCTATGATTTAGGTTTTTAATCAAAGAGAAAGAGAGAAAATATATTGAACGTCTAGTAAATCCTGAGATCAGAAATCTTCAGATTGGTTCTGAAACAAAGTGTTTATAATGAATTCGCTTGAGAAACAGCGAGAATGGACAATGTCACGGTTGATGAATGTCACTGAGGGCCGATGACCAGTCGCTTTTCCTCTTTCACGACGTGAATTACTGAGTCATCTCGATCGAGACATACGATAAAGAGATGTAACGTCCCAGACAAGTAGACTCGCAAGATTCATACATTTTCAATTGTTCTAAAAATACACGAGAATCGAAGAATTTTCTATTCATTGCCTGTTGTTTGTCTGGAATAGTATTTTCTTGGAAAATTTTTAGAATGTTTATTCTATCGCCATTTTTAGAATGTTCATTTTATTGCTATTTTTTTATTTCTTTTATATAACTTTTTCTTAAAAGATGAAATAGAGATTACGAGAAGTTCTTAAATATTTCGGTGCAGCGAATAAATCTAATCATCGCATTCACCTAAGTTAATTCAAAATTAATTTAAATTAAAATTTAATAATATAATTAATTAATTTTTATAAGAAAATATCCCTATTCCTATATTATAATACAAATATGACATAAGTAGAAATAATATTATAATTCTAAATTATAATAAATTCTATTTACTCTAAACTTATGTAAAAGTATAAACTGATGAAACTCAAGAGAAAAAGTTTATAATATAAAAATTGGAACGTTATGTATAACATAGCATAAAGAAAAAAATACAAAATAATAATAAAATTCGGATATTCTTTTAAATTCGAATCAAAATAACTGTACATGATGAAGCGCAACTGCAAGGAAGTCACACTGATGCATCCGAAAAAATTGCAGAATGCTCGGTTGCATCTGTCACAAACATAAAATATGAATAGAGATAGAGAGATATATGAAGAGTCCAGTAGTCTGTATAATTCTGCCCCTCATCGCTACCTTTGAAGATGACGGAGTGGTAGAAAGAACACTGACATCAGTCAACGGATCCAACTAGACAGCGTGTTTTACGATTCCGGCCACGATCATTGGGCTCTTATGGATTCTCTGATCGTTCCTTAAGAATTATTGTTGCCTCTGACCAGTCGCACCCGTCGATGTTCGAACATGTATAAATGACATAATATTAATATTAAGGGATCACACACATCGTATAGGAAGTTACGTCAAACGCGTGTCATTACCTATGTACGATTGACACAGCGTTCTATACATCATGGATTATCTTGAAGCTATTTGTCCAGCTGTCAAGAAAATAATCTGCGATGTGAAAGAAGCTTTATTCTATATATATATATATATATATATATATATATATATATATATATATATAAAGCTTATAAGCTATATATATATCCTATAAATAAAATTAAAATATAATTAAAATTAACATAATTAAAATGAAAGAAACGTAATATTTTTACAAATTGTAATTTGTTGGTTCCTTTCTTATGAAAAATTAATATTTTATTTTAAAAAATTTCTATAACACATAATCTTCGATAATATTCGAAATTTCAATTTTCAAATACTAGAAGATCTTTGCAATAGAAAATATTTAAATATTTTTTATCATATCATAATAATGCGAATCTAAATTAAATATTCAATAATTATTCTGCATATTTATAAAATTAAAACTAAAATTAAAGTTTATCAAAATAACATGTAATTCAACGAGGATCAAGAATTTAAGATCTTTTTTTCTGGAAATTCGCGAATTAATTCGGCAATTGAGGATTTTAAAGTAGAAAAATCTCGTATTTTAATTATGCGAATCTATAGAGAAGAGCGCATTGCTACGAAAATTAATTTGGATGCTTTCCGAGAAGAAAGGCGCATAAAAATATTCCGGACAGAGTACGAATTTTGCGATATCAACCGCGATATCTATCGTTCTTTCTTCCATCAGACACGCTGCTTTTTGATCTATCTGGTCACGCTCGAAAATACGATATGCGTGACTTGAAAAGCGGTGCGTTTTAGAGTTGATTCATGATACAACACGGAATCATGGCATGTGCGTATGCAACATCCTCTATAACGGTATATAGGCGCAATAATTGATAAACTATCTAATTGATAGAGATAGCAACAAATAGTAATTTAACTCTTCAAGTATATAATTTTATTATTATATACTTGATATTAGAGTATTATTATATATTTGATATATAGAGAGAGTTATATATTTGCGGAGATGTTTCTATGCGAAAAAATGTGTGTATCGTTGTGTTTAATATTAACATTTATAACCATTTAAGAAGAATTTTCTTATTTCACTGATTCAATCCAATTTTATCCAAAATTTGAATTTTTGATGGAAAATTTTGATTAAATTAATTAATATGTTACTTAAAATAACATATGATCTGTCTAGGGATCTAAAACGATAAAAAATTAATTGAATGATCCTACAATATATCTGATGCAGATTTGCGAATAAAGTTCCTGGACGAAGACAGAAAGCAATCTAATGTCACAGAGAATCACAATATCCATCTCAAACTCTCTTAAAATTCTTAAGGTATATGAGACGTAATTTATGAGTTTGTTGACATGTAAATTTAATTGTCTACAAAATATAATATTATATTCTGTTGTTAAAATATTATCATTACAATTACATACAATTGTCTAAGTTATTATATATTATATTTTCTATTAAAGCTAATTATAAAAATAATTTAGTCAACTTTATGGAATATTATGAAAGATTTTCGACGATTTTATACTCATTTATTTATTTTGCATTCAATACCATCAATCACATTGACAATTTCAATATAATTTTACTTTTCCTATCGTATACAATTTTCTTCTTTGCTGGAGCATGTGTTCAGGATTCAGACTTTTTTATATCAGGAACTTTTGTAAACTATTTATTTATTTTCTGTCCAAATAATAAATTCATATCTCGTATACGAAGCCGAGACGGAATCTCCTATTCGTTGCAGAATCAAATGCCGAGAGATTCCCAGGATTTTGCGTTACATACGACTCCCGTTTTCGCGAATGTCTACGCCAACAGGCTTGCCGACGGAATCTCATTTGGTACCATCGCATAGGCTGAATTAAAATTAGCCGATGTCGAATTACACGTGCTGCGTGCAACGTCGATCGGTTCACGTGCGACAAGCGGACAGGAACGTGAGACACACATGTTGGGGTCGTACTACATATTCCAGTAGATAGTCTAGCTTAACTGATTGTGAGACTCGAGAAGACCAATCGATTGGTAAATGATGCTGATTAATTCTTGACGCATGTCAAATCTACTAAGCGATACGTGCGAATCTGTCGTGCGTCAATTCCGAAGTAAAAAGATTAAGAATATCTTCACGATTAACAAGAAGGTTTCTTTGAATTCATATCTTTGATTTAATGATAACCTTGACACTTTCTAAGAATTTTTTTTATTCTATTTAACGTATTAGCATTTGCATAAAATATAATAATTTAATGGAATATAATTATATATAGATAAATACTTTTAAATAGTACATAAGCTGTATATTTTTAAATATAAAGATATATATTTTTTTAAATTTTATATAAATGTATATATATTGTTTATTTATAAATAAACCCATTTTTCATAAAACATCAACTTGAGGCATATCCTGTACATATACAGACAACTAACGATACCCACGACCTTATTTAGAAGCAAATCACGAAGTGTAATCCGGTAAGTCCGGTAAGCACAACGAGTTGAAAGACCGCGTAACATTTCGCCTGCGGATTGCGTTCATTTTGCAAATTTTCAAAATAAAACGGAGGAGAGATTCACGTGTTTGTATCACGGCATAGTATCGTATTGTGTCTTAGACGTATATTCCGTTCAGTAGCGTAGGCAGGATGAAACGCGGAGAAAAAAATCGGGAAATTTAGTAAAAATAATAAAAGTGATCATAATTTTTATGAACTTATTCAAAAATTATTTATATCTATACCATATTCACAGATATAAGTTATAATATTCCATATAATATTTAATTATATGTATATGTGTTTCTGTAAATTTTTAGCAATCTTACGTTGCTATGAATAATCCTAAAAAATACTAATTTTCTAAATTAATGAAACAATCATTAGGAAATAAAAGAAATTACGATAAATTATAAATAAAATTGTTAAATTTTGATGCTTGAGATTTTTACAATTTCGTAAAATTTGATAAGCGTAATCAGCCTTCTAGCTGCGCCACTGATACTACTAATCAGCAGTCAGCGAATCAACGACGGATACCCGTTTTGGATTTAGAGTTCAGCTTTTCCAAGGAAGACATAAAATAGTCGCAGGTGTACCATCGTCTGCCGACATAAATGTCCGCGTACATACGTGCTAGCGATATACACATACACAAGACGAGCGCTACGAATCCTGCATCGCGATAGAGATCCGATGCAAATGCGAAA